GAGAGAGAGAGAGAGAAAACGGCCTTGAATTTGAAGAAGGGACAAGAGTTGTCCTCCGTGTTTGTGGTGAATTTAATTTGTAAGTGCCTGATCATCTATGTGGCGTATAAAGTTCGATAGAGAGGGCACACGGAGAAGATTGAACCTTGGGCATAATGGCCTTTATCAGATCGGTCCATAGGAACGCTATACCATGTGTATGTTACCTGTATTATGTCACTGACTGGCTTATATATTCTTGATATCTATTTTTGCTTTTACTTGGAACAAATTTTCCCTTGGATTTGAACTTTGAAATGACATTGTTTTATTATTATTAATTTCTTTATTTTTTATTTTATAGTGGTTAGGGTTTTTTTTTTTCTTCCAAAGTGACAATCACTTTTATATGTAAGATTTCAACTCAAGTGGTTGTAAAAATATTATCGACTAGACTCAAAGTTCAAACGTAAAATTTTCAAACTTTATGATATACCTATGTCATCCAATTTTACATCTAAGTACGAGAAGTAATTTTAACTGTGTAACAAAGATAAATTGTCTCCCAATATATAATCCATTTTTTTCGTATAGTTCAACTGGACAAAAATTCACTACTTGAATAGTATTTAAAATGTCATGTTGACACCCTGCCACCACTAGCCTTGAGCCTATCCAAAAGTGTTCATGCTTTTTAGTGGGAAAATAGCATTTATATGGTCAAAACTATTTACAAAATTAACAGGGATCAAAATTTTCCATTAACATATAGAGTATTTATTTTCTATATTTTCATTTTGCGAAGGTACCTCTCTAAAAATTATCTTAAAATATTAAAATTGGTCTTCTATTGGGAACCTTGAATGCATTCCATTAAATGGACCCATCCTAAATAAGTAGGGTCATTTGGTCAGTGCCTCCCAAGTAGGTCAAATTCCTTAATTCCCTTGCTTGTTTAAGGTTTCCGAACCAATAACAGGGTTCATTCGAGTATTTTAAAGATATTTTTTAAAGAAGCATACGGAGTGATTGAAAATTATTAAGTAAACCAGTGTTAATTGAGATATTTTGACCCCTAGTTAGTTTGTAAGGTATTTTAACTCTTTGAATATTATTTTCACTTTTCTCTCTTAGAGAATATAAACTTCGGAAATTATTAGAAATATACTTTAATTTTTGTCTAATTGAAAAACAAGTATTCAATTTTCATAAACTTCGTCCTCACCCTTTTTTCTCAATTTTGGTTTTTTTTTTTTATCAAAATAGCATTTACGGTAGTTGTATTACCGTGAAGACTCTATCATTACGGTACTTTAAGTAATGTAATACAGTAGTCATTACGGTTAATATGATTACCGTGAAAGCTATTAGTAAAAAAAAAAAATTTAAAATTGACGAAAAAAGATGTGGACGAGCTTTATAAAAGTTGAGAATTTTTTTCCAATTAAAGTATTTTTCTGATAATTTCCCTATAAACTTTCGGCCCTCTAATGCTGCCCCGTTGTACCAAAATGGGTAGTGCGCTATGCATTGTTTTTGGGCATGTCTCTAAGAATGAATCGGGTAGTGCGCTATGCATTGTTTTTGGGCATGTCTCTAAGAATGAACCCAAATTATTCCCAGGACATTCTAGGGGGCTATTTTCATAATGGAAAATGGTTCGATAGGGCTTCAGTTCTATCAAAATAAGTAAAGCTTCACTTCAGTGCTCATCAAAAATTGCCATTCAAGTGTTGAAAAACCTTTAATTTGATCATCTCAACTTGAAGAGTGAAAAAAAAAATTAGGATAGTAATATTGCAACAAATCATCTATACCTCCCATTTCTCTCTAAAAATAAGTGTTAACATATCTGCAAGATCTGTATTATTTTTTGAGTTTTAAATGTTATTATCAATGGTGGAAATTAATTTTAAAGCCATTATAAAGATCTTTTATGCCCAAAGTGATTTCCAAATAAAGATTTGAGATAAGTCTTTATTTTATTTTCATAAAGCATGGCCATATAGAAACTCCATCTTTTCATAATTGCCCCTAAAAGTTGTACATATGGAAATCGGGCTTGGGCTTGAGTAGTTAGCCGTTGACGTCAAACAATACACTGCGTCCCAAGTTCTATTCCCACCTGTAAACTACCTGAAAAAAGGCTCCTACAAATAAACGCTCTTTATTTCTAATGTTCAACCAAGTCATCGAAAGTGTGTGCCTATAATCTTATGGAGATGGGGCACCAGATGAGGTAACATGTACAAAACATTAAAATTGATAAAGGAAATGCACCATTCCATAACTATGTCGATGCATTATTCTATTACTTAGATTGTAGCTTCTCATACATAGTTTTAACGTGCATAGAGCGTACTGTACGGCGTTTACCACTAAGGAGAAATGCTTTTTTAAAGAAAAAGTTCGTATAAAGTTGCAATCTTACATTATAGAAGTACGGTGCACGTCAAAGATCATATAGAAAAAAGTTTTATGAAGTGAAACCTTCTAATTGATTGTCTCCACCTCCAAATATTTAAAAAATAGTGCATCTTATAAAAAAGTTATGCTGTCTAGTTGTCCTCAAGAGGTGTCCGATTGGTTCAATCTAAACTCTAATCTGATAAATTGCAGTGTGATGGTAGTGGTTGTGTTGGTAATGGTCTGATTCGTAGCAGTGATGTTGGCAGTCGGGTGGTGGCACGGAAGTAGTCACGATGCGGTGGCGGTGGCGTCAGCGCTCTAATGGTGGCAATAAAGGAGAGCTAATTTGAATTTTTTTACAACTTGATGCAGTTCAAAAGAGAAACTCAAATTAAAACTCTAATTATAATGGAAAAGCATTAAGAGACTATTTATAATTCAGAATTGATTCAAATGTCAAAAATCAAACAACCAGATCAAATGGGGGGAAAAGATTTTCATATGCGCCCAAATTGTAGCTTAGCTTAGAAACAAAAAGTGCTTCATACTCCCGAAATATGAAACCAGAAACAGTTTCTTTGGCTTCTCTCTCTCTACTCTCTTTCCTCTTTATTCTCTTAAAAAAAAAGAAGGAAAAAAGTGTGATATCTTTATTATTCTATCAAAGAATGTGTCACTATAATAGTAAGCTAATACAATGGCACCTATCTATTGCGGAAAAAAAGAAAAAGCAAAGAAATAAAAAAAAGACGCTGAAAATGGCATTTTCTTTTCATTACCAGATTCCTCATATAAGTCCAACCACCTCAAACGCCGTCAACTCTCTCGCTAAAAACTCATCGCTCACGCTCTGATCTTTGTGTCTCTGTCACTGGCCCTTCGCTCCTCCAACATCTTCACTCCCACGTACCTAATCAGGAAATACAACCACCAAAAGGCTCAGTTTAGAGAGAGAGAACCACCAAAAGCATCACTTACAACACAGAGAAAGTGGGGAGCTCTTCTTTACCGGCCAAGCATCATGACCGTGGCCTGAGGATTGGTCCCGGGCGAATGCGAGAAGGTGGAGCCATCGACGACCCTGAGGGCCTGCACCCCAAAGACCCGATACTGAGTGTCCACCACCTCCCCCATAACGCAGCCCCCGTGGTAATGCCATATCGTCGACACCGTTCTGTGGCAGAACTCAGCCACTGCATCGTCGTTGCTCAAATTGGCCGGCAACCGCACATCATCCAAGTACCAGAACTCTCTCTCCCCAAAATGCCGCCCTGGGAACTTGAACTGGTCCATTGCACTCGTCCCAAGAACCCTGGCCACCAACCTCACCCCTTCCATGCACCTTTGCAAATCCAACCCCTCGTCAAAATAATTGAACCTCACCAATGGATTGTCGCGGACATTTGAGGAGGCCAGGCGTAAGGAACCGCTCGACAGGGGGCCAGGAATTTTTGCCATAAGGGAAGCAATGTTGAGTGGGATAGAGGAATACCGAGGAGAAAGAAATAAGGAACGAGAGCGGGGACTGAATGGGAGGAGGTTGGAGGCAGCTTCTAGAAAGACATTGGGGGTGATGGCAACAACCTGGATGAGGGAGAGTGGGAGGCGGACAGGAGAGACGAAGGAGAGAGCATTCCGGGGGTTGTCGCGCATGGTGTTGCCGACAGCGGGTAGGTGGTGGGCGACCGGGATGCCCCATCTGATGAGGCTGCGGTTTGAACCAATGCCGCTCAACATCAACAGTTGGGGGCTGCCGATGGCACCGGCTGAAAGGATGACCTCGCCCCGCGGCAGGAGCATGGCGTGGTGGGGCCGCCCTTGGAGATCCGCATACACCACGCCAATGGCAGTGGGTCGAGGCACACCAGTGCCTGTGACGGACGCACAAATGAGAATTTCCTTCTAATAAGTGCAAGGAATTCTTTTGAGGAGGGGAAGGTATTTCTATTGGATATTTTCATGTGCTTTCCACCAAGATATATTTTTTAGGAAAATTTCAACTAATGTCTTTGTAATTAGCAGACACGGTTTCTATGAGTTGATGTATAAATGAGACACCTCTTAAAAAGCTATTTTTAATATGGATTTTTGGATTTAATTTTACACGGTTTCTATGAGTTCAGGTAAAAATGAGACACCTCTTAAATATCTATTTTTTATATGGAAGGACATGTAATCTCCAACATGGTGATCATGAACATGAAAAAATCTTACTAAAAAAAAATCATGAATATGACAAAATAAATAAATTTTAAAAATGAAAAATAATAATTTTATTAAAAAACGTTTAAACTGTTATTTTCAATTGTTTTTAGATGGACTGCCTATTTGCATCTATCTTTAAGAGGGATGCTTTATAACTTGGGGCTGCATATTGTAGAAATGCGGTCCAACCCATATGAAACAATTTTCCTAAAAATAAACTCACTCTGTTGACATTGTACTTTCATGATTATTTTTCAATTTTTAATTTTTTTAAAATACTCTGGCAAAGGGCAAATTGTTACCCCATTTTGCAATTAAACCACTTAGAAATTTTTTTGAATTTCCAAGGCAAAGCATATGTTTTTTGCATAATTAAAAAAGAAAAAAAAAAACTTTGATATGCAGGTTGCAACCTTACTTGTAGATATAAAGCCAATAATCTACACCATTCATTTTATTTGGACAGTGTAGATTTGATATTGTGAAAAAATACACCACTTTTTTATATTATCTTGATACTATGTGAAAAAATACGCCACTTTTTTATATTATCTTAGAAAATGTATTAAATCTACACCCTAACTAAAATAAGCGGTGGATGGTATAGATGGGAAAACAAGCCCCTATGTGTTTTTTCAAGTAGATTAGGAGTTAACCCGTTTTTTCAAGTAGATTAGAAGTTAACCCGTTTTTTCAAATAGATTAGGAGTTAATTTTTTTTTAAAAGTAGTAGAGAGTTAGCGTTAGTGATGAGAATAAAAACCACAACATGGTGACTAGGGTGTGGGGTAGTACCACCATAACCAAGTCCCTTTTCTTAGTTTAGAACATTACAAACTTACTTTTTATATATAACGCAATCACTTTATACAAACCCCACCCATTAATATGTCTCTCGCTATCATGTCTATTTTTGTTTTTTTGTTTTCTAATATACTCCCAAATTAGATATAATAGTTGTGGCACATATGCTGCAAGAAATGACAATGGTCCAAAACTAACAACTATAAGAAGCAAAGTAATTTGGAGCTATTATTATTTTTTACTTGAAATCAAACTAGTAGTTTTGGACTACTTTGAGCCATTTGAACTTTGAATCTATTCAATGCGACTTCTATAACCACCCAATTTGAAATTTAAGGAATAAAAGTGATTTTGACCTCTTTGTACAAAAATAAATAATCTCTCTATAAACTTTTCCAAAGTAAATAGCTTTGAATTGGTTTTTTTGTGCTTTTTATAAATAATTTTGGACTGCTTTTATTCTGTACAAAAAGTATGAATAAAAGTGGTTCGGATTTTTTTTTTTACAAAATATATGCTTTCAAAAGTCAAAATGCTCAAAACAATAACAGAAATAATTGTATATAGAGGCTGAAAAGAAAAATCTCAAGCCATTATCCGCGTTTTTGACCTCATCCAAACGTACAGGAAGAATAACAAAAAAAAAAAAGGGGCAAAAAACTAATCAAGGAACACGAGTAATTTATGCACACAAAAACAAGAGAATAAAATACGAAAAGGGCCAACTTTTGGTGAAAATTTCTCGAAAGATTGGTTAACCCGTGTTATTTTTATTTTTTTCTAAAATTATCTCTGGTCTGATGATGCCATCGTCGGAACAGTTTAATTTTATTTATCTTTTATTGTTTTATTAGTAAGGTATTGCCCAGTCTAAAAAGTAGGATGAGGTTGGTATCTTCAAACCGCCTTATTTCTTAACAAATAAATGCGCTTAATGCGGTTTGTAGATGGCAACTTTGGTCTGCCTAAAAGAGCATTAGAGAAGATGGTATGAGAATGGGCAGCTCAGACCCGCTTTGAATGCTTAACAAAGTGGGTCTTTGCAGTCCCAGGATGGCACGCACCACATAAACAGTAGTAGGCCGATGATGCTAACATCCGATCGACGGGGCACTGCCCCAAACGTTAAGGCACAACCCTAATATAAAACAAGCTCAAAAACAAATTAAAATGTAGTCCCATATGGTATCTTCGTACTGTAAGAAAATTTTGAAAAATTAAAAAACCTCATGACCGACTTTCCGCGTAATTTTAACCTGACTAATTTATTTTCTGTTTTTTCGCCCGTATGTAATTCACTCAAAAATTAAAACATTTTAAAACCACAGAATCGGAGAGTGTCAATGACGAAGCCTACTCTACATGACCAGAAGGTACTGGTGGGCCACCACATAAGTTTTTTTTTTTTAAAAAAAAACGCACCAATCAGAGGGAGAGAGAGAGTGTAAAGTGTTACCCTGAACAGAGGTGAAGAGCACCTTCTCCACAGTGGCGTGCAGCGCAACGTGAATATTCTCCGGCCTGGCGTAATTCAACAGGTCCGCCGCACTATGCCTCCTCCGCGTCCCGTCGAACGTGGACCCTCCGATCTTCGTGCCCTCCACGTGGTCCAATCTAAACCCATTGAACGGCGTAACATTGGCCTCCAGCAATGCGTCCCTGAAGTCCGCCTGCCACGTCGTCAGCCTCGGCTGGAACAAGACCGCCCGCTCCACCCACTGGTACGACCGGTTCACGAGTCCCATGTCCCAGTAACCGGGCTTCCCGGGAGCGAAGAAGTCCGGTTCGGCCCGTGTGTAGAAACCAGCGTTGATGGCGCTGCTCCCGCCCAGAACTCGTCCCCGTGCGTTCGGGACGCCGTCCTCTGACTCGAAGCGCTGGGCGGGCGAGTCGGGCGAGTTGTCCTCATTGAGGGTGGAGAAGAAGCCACGAGGTGAGGAGAGAGCTGGGTAGGAGAGGGGGTCGGACCCTCGCTCCAAGAGGAGGACGCGCAAAGAGTTGGGATTGGCGGAGAGGGTGGCGGCGAGGGGGCAGCCGGCGGTGCCTCCACCGACAACGATGTAGTCGTACTCATCTTCGGCCGGGAATTCGGTGGCGTTGAGGGCTAGTTGGACGTACAGGGGTTTAGTTCTTCCGCCACCTTTACCTGAAAGAGAGAGAGGTTAGAAGTTAGAAGTTGAGACAGAGAGAGAGAGAGAGATGTTAGAATTTAGGAGTAAGGAAGTTACTAGAATGCATATGGAGAGAGAGGTTCTCTAGTTGCAAAAAGCGAATGCGGAGGGGGGCAGAGAGAGGAGCAAAGAACTCAGCTGTACTGGCAATGAAGCGAGAGAAAGAAGATCGAATGATTCTTGTCAAAAAAGAGAAGATCGAATGGAATGCCTGCAAGTCTAGGGAGAAGGCAGAATCTAGAGAGAGAGGGAGAGAGGAGCAAAGATCGGTTGGATGCCTTTTAGCTCAAGAAACAGAAGAGAAATGGTCGTGAAAATGCCTGCTAGAGAGAGAGAGAGAGAATGAAAACAGAGACTAAAGATCGTGAAAATGCCTGCTAAAGAGAGAGAATGAAAACAGAGAGTAAAGATCGTGAAAATGCCCGTTAGAGAGAGAGATTAAAAGCAGAGTAAAGATCGAGAAAATGCCTTTGAGAGAGAGATTAAAAACAGAGGAGTAAAGATAGTGAAAATGCCTGTTAGAGAGAGATTAAAAACAGAGAGGAATAAAGATCATGAAAATGACTGTTAGAGAGAGAGAGAGAGAGAGAGATTGAAAATAGGGGGCAGTAAAGATCGTGAAATTACCTGCTAGAGAGAGCTAGAGAGAGTTTAAAATGCTTATAAAGAGAACAAAAGGGAATAACATTGGTAAAAAAATTTGAAAATATATATGGAGAGGGGTTAGGTAGAAGAAAAGGCGGTGAAGATCGGTTAAACAAACTTCTTGCAAATTGAGAGAGAGAGAGACAGAGAGGGGCAGGTTACAATGCCTGTAAAGAGAGAGAGAGAGAGAGAGGCAGGTTACAATGCCTGTAAAGAGAGAGAGAGAGAGGCAGGTTACAATGCCTGTAAGAGAGAGAGAGAGAGAGAGAGAGAGAGAGAGAGAGAGAGAGAGAGAGA